TTCCCTTCCCTACCCATTCCCCCCTCCCCCACTTAGAGAAACCTCAATTTACTGTTTACCCGGGCTGACCGAAAATGCTAGTCATGGAATTTTCATATATAGAAAAAAGTAAATCAAGCACTTTTCATGCAAAGGTCTAGAGACCAGCAAAATGACTTGTTTTCTGAGAGCAGTTCTTCTGTCAGCTTGTCTTTCGGCTAGCTTAATGTTAGGGCGGATAACATGGAGTAGCCCGACTAGAGCCCTACAAGGGCGGCTGTACATGTGAGTGTGGACACGCTGGCTGGCCGATGGATCATTGCAAAGATGGACGGACACAATGGGTGATTTGAAGACACAAGTACTATCGCTCTTTTTTGGACGTGTTTCTTTTTGTATCAATCAGTCTCGCGCAAAGACCAGAATATCAATCTCGTGCTTAAAGTTTGATAAGCCCCCTGTCTTGCTTCCCCTGCACACATCTAAAATATTTACTTGCCTGCTTCTGCAACTATCTATCTAACGTTGTCAATATCCTATTCCGATTCAGCGCCGAGTTCTACTTTGTAAACGTGTCTACTTTGTATTTATTTCCGTATGCCAGTAAGAAATGTGGCTAAATTGAAATGAATTTCGAAATGAGGGGGTGTAGCCAAAAATAATGTCCTTATTCCATAAATTGATATTACTTAGAGTGGTTGAGTGAAACTAAAATGTATCTGAAGTTGAATCAGTTACAAAAAACGAGGTGTAGCCTAAAATAATGTCCTTATTCCATAAATTGATTTAACTTCGATTGGTTGAATGTATCTACAATGCATCTGAAGTTAATTTACTTACGAATTACGGGGGTCTAGCCAAAAATATTGTTCCTAATCAGTTACAAAATTCGGGGATGTAGCCGAAAATATTGTCCTTGTTCCATAATTTGATACAATATAGATTAATGAAAGTATCTAAAAATCATTTGAAGTACAACCAGTTACAAAAGCGGGGATGTAGCCAAAAATGATGTATATAATCCATAAGATGATATAACTTAAATTGGCTGATTTTATCTAAAATTTATCAGAAGTAAAATCAATTACGAAATGCTGAAGTTTATTTACTTACGAAATAGGGGGTCTAGCCAAAAATGTTGTTCCTAATCACTCGCAAAAAACGGGGGTGTAGCCTAAAATAATGTCCTGACTCCATAAATTGATTTGACTTAGGTTGGTTGAATGTGTTTAAAATGCATCTGAGGTTTAATCAGTTACAAAAACGGGGTTGCAGCCTAAAATAATGTTCTTACTACATAAGTTGATTCAACTTAGATTGGTTAAATGTATCTAAAATGCATCTGGAGTTAATTCAGTTACAAAAAACGAGGTGTAGCCCAAAATATTGTCCTGACTCCATAAATTGATTTGACTTAGATTGGTTAAATTTATCTAAAATGCATTTGAAGTTAAATCAGTTACAAAAAAACGGGGTGTAGCCTAAAATAATGTCCTGAACCATAAATTGATTTGACTTAGATTGGTTGAATGTATTTAAAATGCATCTGAGGTTTAATCAGTTACAAAAAACGGGGTTGTAGCCTAAAATAATGTTCTTACTCCATAAGTTGATGTAACTTAGATTGGTTGAATGTATCTAAAATACATCTGAAGTTTAATCAATTGCAAAAAACGGGGGTGTAGCCAAAAAAATGTCTGTGTTCTATAAGTTGATATTACTTAAATTGGTTGATTGTATCTGAAATGTATGAAGTAAAATCAATTACGAGTTGCGTGGGGTTTAGCCAAAGTAATGCTTTGATCCATAAGTTGAAATAAGATCCATTGGTTGAGTGTATTTAAAAAGCATCTGAAGTACAATCACTTATGAATTGCAGAGGTAAAGCCAAAAAAAAGGTCCTTATTCCATCAGTTGATGAAACTTAGATTGGTTGAATGTATCTAAAATTGTTATGCAGTAGAATCAGTTAGGAAATGCGGGGGTGTAGCCAAAAGCAATGTTCTTACTCCATAAGTTGATATAACTTAAATTGGTTGAATGTACCTTCATTGTATCTGAAGTACAATCAGTTACGAAATGCCGGGTTGGAGCCAAAAATATTGTCCTTGTTCCATAAATTGATATAAGTTGGATTGGCGATTAAAATAAAACGAGGAATTGAGACAGTATAAAATGATGCAAGATTTTTTCTTTTAATGGACGGTGTGAACCTTGGTGGTAATCAAACTCAATGATTAATTAATTTTGGCTGGTTTTTGTCGATGAAAAACACCAGTCACTATGGACATGACTATTGGAGCAGAGTGGATGTGGCTCAGAAGGCAGTGACACGCACTCACTCCTCGGTCCGAACATTCGTCATGGTCTCGGAGGGCATTTTGCCGACGACTGAACCGACGAACCTTTTCGTAGTACACATCCACGTGAACTTTCTGGTCTTGATTACTGCAATATGTTCAATGGGATGAAAAATAACGGGGTTTGGTTGCTGCCACGTGACCGCAACCCAAATTTCTTCAAACTGACGGTGGTCGAATGGGACCTGGAACCAAAGGAATTTTTCCTAGATTTACATACAATTTCCCAGAAAAAAAATGTCCCCCAATTGAAGGAAAACGCAGAAAACAGAGGAGCAATAAAGATGGGAAAAAATCGGATCTCGTCTTTTTTTTATGACTACTAATGACTAGACAGTCTCAGACAATGGCCTCTATTTTAAATTAAAACCTTATAAAATCGCTTTTCGTTCAATTTATTTAAAAATAAAATCATAATTATCCTTGCGATAAGCAAGGTTATCACATTCGTCTACTAGACTTTTTTCCCGTAATCAACTTTTTCCACACATTGGACTCCTGATGTACCTTGCATCAAATGAGATCAAGTTTTGTAACATTTTTTGCAGACTTAGTCTGGTGGTAACGAATATGCCTGGGACAAAGTGCGGATTTAGCTTACTTTTTTCAGATTCCGCTTTCAGTTGCGTATTCCGCAACAGCTCAATTTTACTATACCACTATTTTATTTTTTTTTGTGGATTCTACAAACTGAATTCATCCCCGGGTCGAAATCCCGCTCAAAAACCGCTCAAGATTTGAGCGGTTTGAGCGGTTTTCCAGCAAGATTTGAGCGGTTTGAGCGGTTTGGGCGGTTTGGGCGGTTTTTTTGGAAAAACCGCTCAAACCGCTCAAATCTTGCTTAAAAACCGCTCAAAAACCGCTCATTTCTTGCGGTGATTTTTGAACGGTTTTTCAAGCAAGATTTGATTTGAGCGGTTTTTGAGCGGTTTTTGAGCGGTCTTCCCGGGTCGAGGTCCCAGACTCCCCCCGCCCCAACTCCCCCCCCCCCCCGCCAACGTACTGCTTCCCCCCCCCCCCTCCCCCAACGTACCCCCTCAACGTATCCAACATCCAACAAACTCCCCCCCCCCCCACCAACGTTGTGTATGTCTAAAACATTGAACATATTCAGTAGAACAAATACAGCGAATATTAAGCTTCCAGCAAGTCAGCATAGACTAACGGTTAAGGCGTCTGACTTCGAATCAGAAGATTGCGTGTTCGAATCACTCTGTGGTCGACTTTTTATTATTAAATCTTGCGCCGTTTTTGAGCGTTTTTTTTTTAGATAAACCGCTCAAAACCGTTCAAATCTTGCGCGGTTTTTGAGCGGTTTTTCTAGATAAACCGTTCAAAAACCGCTCAAACCGCTCATTTTGAAGCAAGATTTTGAGCGTAATTGTCTAAAAAAACCGCTCAAACCGCTCAAATCTTGCTTCAAATTAAGTGAAAAATCTCGGCTCGGGTCTATTTTTGGAGCGATGTTGAGCGATACAGCGTTTTAGCTATTTGTTTATGGAATCCAAATCAGCAAAGAAGATTTAAAAAGTAGCAATGTTGCGGATTCCAATGCTGCAAGAAATCTGATTTTGGCATGTTGCGGAGTCCGCTACGACTCACAAAACACACAGTTTTTTGGCCTTTGTAATGCTTAACAATTTATTTCTCTGTGCTTTAACTTAAATCTTCCTTTGCATCTGAAAAGTCAAACCTGAAGTGCATTTGCTCGTTGGCTGGTCGAATTTGCATTTCTTGATTGTGAAAAAACTTCTCAATTTTACGATTGCTATGGCACACAGCTTATGACAAGATACAAGCTCTTGTTCCTTAGTTATTGAAACAATGACTCAATAATCCTCCCGCCATCTGAAGAATTGTGGGAAATTAGGAAAATCTGCTTCAAAATCTTAGAGGGATCTCTTGAAACTTGTAGTCTGCGGTAAACTGTTCTCCTCGAATGAAATCAGCTCATTATAACACTGAGGAAAAATTTTTTTGATAACACTTTTTTGCTAAAATTTGTGGAAAAAAACTTAAGTTTAAGTTTCAGATAGTAAAAATTAAAACTGTTTGAACGCCCATAATTTCAGACAGTCTGTTCAATTTTAGTTCAGATTTTATACATAGTATATTCAGATTATCTACAATGATCTACACATTTTTTTTTATCACTAAAACCCATTTATTTTTGGTAGAAAAAAAATCGATTTTATCTGTATTAAAACGATTATCATTTGCAAAAAAACTGATTTTCAAACCGATTCTATATTTACGTTATTCCATAGATTTTTCTGTGTTTAATCGATTTTTATCCATTTTTGTCTCTGCGAGTTGAAACACTATGCCTTTTCTTTATTTTAAGTCTTCACTTACACTTCTTTACAAATATTAGTACATTTGAGCAATCTTTGGGAGCAAAGAACACGCCACCCGTATTGAGTAGGCGTTTTTGAGCATAATACGGAATCAAGTACTGACTTAAGTACAAAGTCCAATTATGTTCAAAGCAAAATTTCCTCAAGCCTTCCGAAAGTCTTAATTTGAATTGTTTTTGTTTGGCTACCCTCAAAAAACTTAACCTTGAAATTGGCTGCTAAACCAATAAGCACTATCGCCCTTTAAATGGTCACTTGTAAGTAAATTCTACTTAACAAAAACTCACAAAAGTAAACACCTCAATCATAGAAAGAGCTTAAAGTTTAATAGCAAAAGTTTCAATTCAAACAATTGTCTCATACTTTTCAAAAGCCGTCCATTATTCAGATTGTTGTCGTATTGAAGATAAGAAAATTATTTTAGAGACCAGCAAAATGACTTGTTTTTTGGGAGCAGTTCTTCTGTCCGCTTGTCTTGCGGCAAGTTTAGTGTTAGGCGCGGAGAACATGAAGGAGCCCGACTACTGTCCTACAGTGGCAGCTGTACATGTGAGTGTGGACACGCTGGCTGGCCGATGGTTCATTGTGAAGATGGCCGGACACGGTGGATCCATTGAAGAAACATGTGCATTCGTGGAAATGCAGTTGATACAGGGACTGTTCGGTTAGATCAAACTCAGACGTGTTTGTTTTTTTAAATCATTCTCACGCAATGGCCAGAATATCAATCTCGTGCTGATGATTTTATCAGCCCCCCCCCCCTGTACCCTCCTCCCCCTCATGTATATAACTAACGTCAACACTCTCTGCCGATTTAGTCCCGCACTTTGAATATGTCTATTTCGTATATATATTTCCGTATGTCAGTAAGAAATGAATCTAATTACAACCAGTTACGAAATGTGGGGGTGTAGCCAAAAATAATGTCCTTATTCCATAAGTTGATATAACCTAGATTGGCTGTTGTTGAGATCGGTGACTAGAATAAAATTATGGGTTGATGCAGGGGCGGATTTAGGGGGGGGGGGGTGGCGCGAGGGGACGCCTTCTTTTCAGGGATTCGACCCCCTGCCGACCCCAAGGGTCCCCCTTTGGAACTTTTTAAGAAATCCATTTTTGGTCGACCGACCATAAATTTTTTCTAATTGGGCGCCAATATATATTGGGCGCCAATATATACTACTAACTTTGACAGGGAGGCGCGCCAAAAAAACGCGATTTTTTGTCAAAAATTTCCAAAAAGTGCCCTAAAACGGCCTTGGGCACCAGTATATACTAACTTTGACAGGGAGGCGCGCCAAAAAACGTGACTTTTTTGACAAAATTTTCCAAAAAATGCACAACGCGGCGCAGACAATTTGGCCAAAACAGCGTCTTTTTAGTGCTTTAGGAGAGATCGGAAAATCAATTTGGTCGGCCTATAAAAAAATTGTTAAAATTTTTGAAATTTTTTTGAAAATCCTGGATCCGCCCCTGGGTTGATGAGTTATTTTTTCATCTATGGGTTTGTGTGAACCTTTGTGATAATCAAACACTGTTTGTTAATTAATTTAGGCTGGTTTCTGACGATGAACATCACCAGCCACAATGGACAGCACTACTGGAGCAGAGTGGATGTGGCTCAGAAGGCAGTGGCACACACTCGCTCCTCGGTCGGAACATTCGTCATGGACTCCGAAGGCAGTCTGCCGGCGACCGAACAGCCGAACCTCTTCGTAGTACACATGGACGACAACTTCCTAGTCATATACTACTGCAATGTGTTCAATGGGGCGAAAATTAACGGAGTGTGGCTGTTGTCGCGTGACCGCAACCCAAACTTCTTCAAACTGAAGGTGGTCGAATGGGGCTTGGAACCACAGGGAATCTTCCTGGATTTGCAAACAGTTTCCCAAAAGAAATGTCCCCCGATTGAAGGAAAACGCAGAAAACAGAAGATCAAAAAAGATAGGAAAAAATCTGATCTCGTCTTTTTCTAATGATTACTAATGACTAGTCAGTTTCAGACAATGGCCTCTATTTATTTTTTAAATTTTATAAACTCTCTTTTGTTCAATTTATTTTAAGTTTAAATCTTAATAGGAGATAAAATTACTTAAATCATAAGTGGTTCTTAGGCAGTTAAAGTTCAAAATAGAAGAAACTTGAGTAGAATATTTACGGCTTCGGAGAATCCCCATTTTCAGGTATGTGTCAGAGGAAAAAGGAGCCCAACTTTTTTCGACTGGTTTAAAATGGACAATATATCAGTGCCCTTTTAACCAACCTTTAATCTGCTTAAGTCAATCGCAGAAAAAAGAGACTGTGTATAGATAAAATTCCAAGCGAAAAACAAAACAGACAGAAAAAAAAATAAGACATGTTTTTTACAAGCTCTTCATTGTTTCTAGGTTGTAGCATTCTAAAAAAGGGAAAGATTTGAAGCTACTGACTATAAAGCATAAAAACCAAAAGACTCCAATTATGCTCAAACAAAAACTGTAGTTTCAATTTTTCGACTTATTGTGTGAAAAATTGAGCCTGATGGACTACGCTATAAATACACAACAAAGAATTTTTTTTGGATTCCAATGTTGCTCTCATGTAACAGAATCTGCCACAAATATGCTCTTCTTTAATTTTAAACCAAATTCAGATTTTTTAAAAACTTTATTTCTGGTGGAAAAAATGCATAATTTTCATTTTTTCTATGTTAATCGTATATCAAGCATTCTTTCTCTAAACTCCATACATGGGCGGATTTGGATGGGGAACGCTCCCTTTTTTAGGGATTCGAACCACTCACCACCTAAAAGGTTCATCTTTTGGTTTATTTTTATTACACTTAGTCGATACAACTATCGTCCGAACAACCCTAATTTTTTTAAAGGCACCTTTGGTGCCCAATTAAACTAATTTTGAAGGGCGAACAAAAAAATCAGTTTTTAGTTCAAATTTTTTCAAAAAGTACCTAAAACGGCATTTCAACCTCTTTTTTTCTTCAAAAATTTGTCCGCGGCGCATGATGTTTTGTCAAATAGGGTTTTTGTAATGTGTGATCTGGGAGTGCTCGGAAGAAAGCCCGATTTTCCAGAACTTTTTGAAAATCTGCCCCGCATGCCCCCCCCCCCGAGAAAACTCCCCTGACTCCATATCTGAAGTTTTATGATAGGCAGTTTTCTTGCATGGACCTTAACCTGGATCGCTTCCTCCTGCAACCACTCGATTTTATCTTGAGTTTTCAATCAGAGTTAAAAAACAATGTCGGCCCCCGACCGTTTGTTCCAATTTTGCCTAAATTTTTTATTGAACGAAATTGGAGCGAATGGCTGACAATTTCGGTTTCGCAAGAGCGCGAGACGAATAAACCAGGCTTAGAAAAGTCTGAAGGGTCAAAAGATTTTATGAAAAATCGGTGAAAAACTGAAGTTTAAAACTCTGCTCACGCCATTTTGCTGCACGAAAAAAAATCAAAATTGAAATAAATTAGTATATCATTTTTAAAAGTTCTAAGTTTAAATCCACTGTTTTTATCAACCCCTTTTGAGTGCCATCTTGATGAAAAACATATGAGTAAATAACAGTTTATCAATCAGTTGACTGTTAAGCTAGACTTGAAAAGCTCTCCTTGTTTGCTTGTTGCATTAGCAAATTGTTTCATTTTATTGAGATTGAATATCAATCTCTCAACAAAGAAAAGATATTTTTTCTCTGGTCAATTCATTATGATGCATTTTAAAAGGTTTTAGAGATTTACAGGAATACAGATGACATAAAATCGTAGAACTGTCATTATGCTCAAAAGTTTGATACGTGCCAACTGTGGTTTTTGAAATAAGTTCTAAAAATTAATTCACATTTTTTGACTGCGGAAAACTAAATCATGTTAAGTTCTATATAATTTTTTTCATTCCGCTGGAAAATTTAAAGCTATTTTCAAAACAAAAAAAAGGATAGCCGGTTACTGTGCAAGTAGCACAGAATGTTCCGACCAAAGTCTTTAAAAAAACTACAAGGCAAAGTTTTTGTTTCAACATAGTTTTTCTGCGTGGGATGCTAAAAAAGTCTAATGTAAAATAATATTTTAACCATATTGACATTCATAGTAAAACAAACAAATAAAGCCCATTTTTTTAAAAGAAAATTGACTAAAAAAAAATTCAAAAGAATTCAAAATTTTTTTTTTCAAATTTTTGCACAAAAATTTTCAGTTTTTGAAGTTTTGGGTTCCCAGAACGGAGCCAAAAAACTCCAGCAATTAATTTTAGTTGCCTAAAGTTAAGTTTTTAGGGCTTAAATTTTAAATTTGTTCTAACTAAGCTTCTGTTAGCCTGCTCGCTTGCTTTATTCGCTCGCAGACGAAAAATCAAAAAATTCAAACCGATTTTTCTCAATACTGTGAAAATTTTTTGCAAATTTTCTATTGTGGTTCGCATCACGAGTGAAACAACTTTAATATGATATATCACTCAACCCAGTACGATCATTATTTGTGGTACCTGATTTTGCGTGGAAAAAAAAGCAAAAAAAATAAAACACGCCCGAATACAAAGTTCGTCCCCCTTTTGGCCGGATCAATCAAGATTTTTTTTGCGTGAGTCGCTCTTCATTGTTTATTGTTTAGAATGAGTAATTTACTTTCCGTCTGGCAAAGAAATTAATAAAACTAAATTGTATTATGGTGATTTAAATTATCCGTAGAAACCAAGTAAAGCTCAAAAACTAAAAAATGTTTTGCTCAACTTTGTTGATTTAAGACGAAAAATAATAGCAAAACATAGAACTTAAAGAAAACTAATATTAATCAATTGAATTTACGACATTCGAACCCAATATTTTACCCCAAAACGATCTTTTTTGCTTTTTTATTCAATCAAAAATTACGCCGAAGCTTTTTGTCGAATTAGGGACAAAATTAGATCACAGCAAGCCTCTTATGTAACTCAAAAAAGTGTTCAATAATCTCCAAAAACGTGCGCACAACGTTTAATTTTTTAAAATTGGTAATTCACGTAGTAAAAAAGGACCTTTTTGGCTATCAAACAAAAATAAGTTTGTATATACGAAGTTGAGAAGATTATACCCTAGTTAGACCTTGCTGAGCTTCAAAATATATAATTTTGTCTGCAATTCAACAAGTATTTTTGGCGTAACTTATGATTGAAATAAAATAAAATAACTTCTGCCAAAATTCTAAGCAATTAATTTTCATTTTTTTTCGTTTTGTCCGGTTAACTTGATTCGGCACTGTAGTCAAAACGAAATTCACAATCAGAAAGACACTAAAAATCAGCGTCATCAAATTGAAGGACTTTTCAATACAGAAAAAGCTCTAAAAAGTGCCTAAGAATTGTTGATAACACCATCTTGAATATAGTTTGTCAGAAGACAGGGACGAAGATACTATATTATACTGACAAAAAGGCGTAGTGTTGACCAGAACCAACCAGGTCCTAAAAAGGCTGTCATCTTTAACAGCTTGTAAAACCAGGGTGCCAATACAATGAGGGGGGTGTGTGGGTGACTTTATCTTACGTTCACTTCTGTTTGCACATTTTTTCAAAAGTTTTCCTTCGGCATTAGTTTAGCGCAACCATTATGATGGACCAATCCTGAAATTTTAAAATTTCAATTTTTTTGACAAACTTGTTTTAAATAGTCCAAAAAAATTTGATGCTATGCAAAATAAGAATCTAGTTGCAAAATAGTGGCTTTTTATGATTGCCAATTCGGTCAATTTAGGATTCGTTGTGACTGTTTGCTACTTATTTTGGATGTATATTTTCCTGTCAACTAACTGAAATTTATATTGATCTTTCTTACTTAATTATCTTTTGTTTCATTCTTTACATTGGAACATCTTAATCTGTGAAATGAAAGCAGGCAAAAACATTTTAAAAAAATTGGTATTCTTATAGGATTTATGAGAATCATAAAGGTGAAACACAGCCAAGAAACACTTGGAAAAGAGTCAATAAATTCAAGTAAACAAAACAATAATACTGACCACTCACATTTTTTTGAAAAGTCTCAATTTTTGAAAAAAAAATGGCCTAAAAATTCGTTGAATTTTTAGCAAGCACATACTATGATTGACAATTGTTGGAGAAAACTGACCCAATTTGAAAACATTTGATCAATAGGTAAAAATTGTTTTTCGCTGGGAAATGTGATAATTAAAGTTCATTTGCGAAACTAGAAGTGGACCACGTTTTTCGTGACTTTGCACTTTTGCTGTTTGATAGTGGAGTTTGCGTTTCTTTTTGACGAAAGAAATGAACTGAACTGGAAAAGAAACTAACAGTTAAACCGCAAAATTGCACAACTGAGCTTGAACAAACTTTCGAATTTTTCCAAAAAAAAAAAATCATCTTGAGCTATATAAGTTTTAATCCACTTTCGAAATAAAAAGTCTTTCAGGTTTTTCCGACCTTACACTTTAATTGTACAATAGTGGATTTTGCCTTATTTTTAGCAAACAAAACTGAACTTTAAAAAATCGAAGAGCGAGCAATCAATTTTCAGTCTGAACAAAAATTCAAACGTCAATTTTTAACAAAAATCAAGTTTGAGTGAGCCTGAAAACTTTAAAAATTTTTTCATCATTTGTTTTCTTTTTTTAAATGTTTTTGATGCATCGCAAGGGGTTCATATCTCCGCTCCGCCTCTGTGTAAAAAGCTGAAAATGAATGATTCAAATTAATCGAACTGTACTGTTAACACAATGCAGTTTTGATTGAGATTCTTCTTGTTTTTCATCTAGTTTTTCTTTGTTCCTGCTGTCGATTTGTTTAGATTCGTTTCCATCCAGAATCGTTCAATCAGTGTTTCTGTCCTGTCTTCTATTTTCTTACCAATGCCATCATTTTCATTCTGGTGTTGATGAATAACGTTTTCTTTCGACATGCTACATTATCTGTCCCAATTGTTTGTTGAGTGTTTCATTTGTAGCATATACAGGAGTTTTTCCTGCGTTTTTCAGCTTCGAATATTTTACCGAATCATTTCATTATAAGGTAGAAGCACCCCGTTCCCAATACTAAGCTCTGTGGTTTTAGTTGGATGACAAATGAGAACCTTGCCGACATGCTAAACAGATAAATTTAAACTGATATTACTAATGTGATCCACTTGCTTTTGTTTCAGAGAAAGTTGTGACCAGAACATCGTGCCAAGAAAGTGTTAATTTTACGTTTTTTTGGACTTTCTTAGAAGCATATCTCGAAGTGACAACATGAACTTGGAAAATTTTCCAGGAAAATGTGATATTAGATTTAGCATGATTGACATAATTATCAACTACGGGGCTTGAAAAATCGTTTCATGGAAGCTACCCAGACTTACTTGTAGTTTTGCGCTACTTCGTCGCCGAACATCTCACCCGCCTTGTAGTCGGGAAAATTCGACATCGCATTCTGAAATCAATAAAATTTTTACCTGGATTTACTTTCAGTTATACATTAGTCGTATTCACTAGAGCCGAAATCAAAATTTTATTTCACAACAACCGACCAGGCTTAACCTGAACATTTTTATGTTACTATAATTTTCATTGACCAAAAACCCAAAAAAGTTGTCAACTTAAATAACATATTCAACAGACCACTTGAAAAAGAGTAAATTATTGCAAGGAGCAGAAATTCAAAGACAAAAAATATTGCCTAAAAGCCCTGAGAAAACTGGATCAACAGTTAAATTTTCTATTTCCCCCGTGGAACGTGATAATTGAATTTCATTTTCGGAACTAAACATCAATCACGTTTTTCGTGATCTGTACGTTTTACTACGCTTACCGACCCTTAAACAAGCGTAACAGAAAAAGAGCTTAAGCTGGATGAACTTGTTTGATAATTTTTCGAATATGTAGGACTGATGGCGGTTGAAATGCGTAGTTTTGAAAAGTTGCAACTTACTCAAATCTATAGCGGTTTTTCTACTAAAACAAAAACATAGCCAATCGAAGATTGGAAAAAAAACTGAACGCAAGTAAACATTAAAAAACACTGAATTTCGAATTTCAAAAAAAATACATACCGAGTAAGCTCTTTGAATTTCGCGAACAATTTATGATTGGCGCTTTTCTGATAACATGAACCCAACTAGAGAAAACTGGATCAAGAGATAAAGCTTTTATTCCGCTAGAAACCTAAAAGTTAAACTCCACTTTCTAAACTAAAAAACCGTTCACGTTTTTTTGCCTCATTTCCACGTTCGGGCTCTTTTACCTTTTCCCTCCACCTCACACGAGCTTCAATATGTTAGTGTAACAAGTGGTTTTACGAGGTTGAATAAGACGACCAATTATGTTTGTCGTGGCCTTATTAGTCCGTATGTAAATTTTCATAACAATCGGACGATGTCGTCAACAAATTTACATGTAAAAAATTGCAGGTGGGGGGGGGGAAGGAAAAAGAGCCCACGTTCGTATTTCGAGAGTGCTTTTTACGTCACTTTCAGCAGATGAATTTCAATTGAACTCAAAGAGTGCATATATACTTAAGTGCATTCAAAAGTGCATCAATATGTATGAATGCACATCTGTAGATATTAGAGACTTTTAGGATTTTTCCTGAAAAAAAAAATCACTAAGTTCATTACTCATTACAGAATTAGCCATTTATGTGGAGGAGATTTTCGCTAACCATTTTTAATCTGAACCTAATGTAAGGTTTGACATTGAAAAGTCGACTTTCCTACAGGTTTCTCTTCTACAAAATAGGGTGTAAAAATTTAAACCGGATAAAATTTTTGCACCTTCTACTTTTGATTGAAGCATTAGCCCCAGGTTTTCATACAGAAATTAAAAATAAAAATAAAAACGATTTAAGTCTCAAAGTTTTGGCTTTCCTAGGTTCATAACAGTTTATCAGCCATAAATTTGGCCAGGCTGCTTCAGCAGGGAAATTTTCCACAACCTGCTTTTTTCTATTGAACCACTAATCTTGAAAAAGTTTACAAAAACTGCAAGAGAATATCATAAACTATATGTCTACCAAAAACCTAACAACTTTCATGCAAAAAAGGATTCGCCATTTCTGCAGGGAAGAGTCTCGCAACCCGTTTTTTTTTATTGAAGCCTTAATTTGACAATTGGCACAGCCGTTTTTGAGAAAAGACAAAAAGTTTCTAGAAAACAGAAAAACAAATAAGACTTTTTGAGCGTTATATCTTTTTCTTTCAGTTTTAGAGCGTACCGTTGAATCATTTTTTTTTTCAGTTGAACCAATAATCTCAGATTTGGCAGGGTTTTTTTTCGAGAAAAGTAAAACATTTCTAAAAAACCAAAAATTGCCAAAAACAAAAACTTTGATAGGCAATACCTTTTTGCGTAAAAAAAAAATTAGTGTAGCCGCTGATGCAAAGTAGTTTTCCGTAAACTCTTCTTTCATTTGAACGCATAGCACTTGATTCAGCGATTAGTTTCTCTCCTATTGAAAATGTCGAATGCCGTAGAATGTGAGGAATGTTAAAAAAACTAGCAGAGTAGGCAAACAGGGAAGTAGCCCGAAATTCTAAAATAAGTATTTTGTTGAAAACAAGGTGAGTATTCTATGAGAAAAACTAAAAAATTTATGAGAAAAACTAAAAAAAGTGCAACAAAAGTCTTCTATTTACTCTCAAAAAATGATTGCCACTGACTTACAAAATGTAACTTACAGAGGCTATGTTGACTTCGGTGTCTACTGCATTGTTGTCAGCGTCGCTCGGTCCCGGGGTCTCGTCGTCTGGATCTGACAACCCCGGTACGCACGCTCCGCTATCGCACTCCGGAGGCGCAGTCGTATCCGGATTCACTACCACTTTGTCAATTTTTGGTGTCGTGAATTGTGTAGTTTCCGTTGTAGTTTTAATCACGGGCTGTGTGGGCTTTTTTGGATGTGGAGTTGTTTTTCCTGGAGGTTTTTTGGGCACAGTTGGGGGACCGATAACAGAACTTTTAGTTGTAGCTTGAGTTGGGTTTCCTTTGCCATTGCCTGTGACTTGAGTTGTCGTCTTCACTTTCGGAGGAGCAGTTGAACCGCCTGCCACTTCGGGCGGAACAATCGGAACTGGTTTCTTGGGCTTATTGCAGATATTACATGGTATCATTGATATGCAAATAGATGCAGTGAAGTCTATCACTATATTTGAGGGTTTAGCAGTCGTTGTCGTCGTGGTCGGCGGCTTCGGGGTTGTTGTTGTCCGTTTTGTTGTTGTTCTCCGTTTTGTTGTCGTCGTTGATGAGGTTGTGGGAGGAAGAGTTGAGCTAGTCGTTGTTGTTGTTGTTGTTAGAGGTGTTGTTATAGCTAACAACATGTAATAAGTGAGTTCAAAATGGTTTAAGACTCTAGTACGGCCCCGGATCACCAGCGGATTTAGAGGGGAGTATGGGGGGCGTGGGGGTATTTGGGCGGACGCCCTCTTTTCAGGCATTCGACCCCCTGCCGACCCAAAGGGCCCCCCTTTGTACTATTTTGAGATATCAATTTTTGGCTGACCATAAATTTTTTCTGCCTTGAGCGCCAAAATATACTAATTTTAAGGGGGGAGCGCGCGCCGAACAAGGCAGTTTTTTTCCATCAAATTTTTCCTAATGTGCCTAAAACGCCTAGAGAAACGGTGCCTAGAAAACTTATTTAAAATTGTGTCTTTATAGTGATTTGGTAGAGCTCAGAATAAAAATTTGGTTGACCTATAAAAAAGTCGACAAAATAGTCTAAATTTTTTTTTGAAAAACCGCCCACCCCCCATCGAGAAAACCCTAGATCCACCCTTGGCCCTAATCGCCTTCAGTATAACGACTGGTACAATACAATAGGATAAAATCAGAGCACTTGAACTGAAATCGTCATTGATGTTCAATTTTTGCCCAACATGTGAAATTAAATTACCTGTTTACCAATGTTTTTGCTCCATAGAGTGAAGCAAAACTTTAAATAAAAAAAATGATAATAATTGAAAAAAAATCAAAAAGCGTTTCATTTTTACGGACGTTAAGTTTTTGAGTTTAGTCTTTTTGCGGATGGCACTGCCTTTCTTGTTTCTTTTCAAGCCATAAAAAAGTGATTTTAAAAACGATATAAATAAAACTTATGGCTGGTGAGTGCAAAGCATTTGTTCGATCAGCTCCAGAAAACGCAAAAAATGGATGAAAAGAGCGTGTTTGGATTAGAAACATTTTTAGCAGATGAAAAAATCAGTTTCAGTTAGTCTTTGGAATATTTAGGTGTTCGACATGACAGCCAGCTGAAATTTACAGATGACGCAGATACCGTGTGCAAAAACTAATTAGATTCAAAAGGCAAACTGTTTTTCAAGAAGAAAGCTATTAAGCTTCTATTTGGCTTATTATGAAATGATTATCAATAAACAAAATTTCCAGCGCTGATTAACTTCAGCTACGATAAGGAAGGAGATTATTTGAATTTATAGGCAATTTTATATGGTTTCCTTGTCTATTGTAGCTCAAGTAAATCAAAGCTGGAATTTGTTTTTTTTTGACAGGAAAATTTTTTTATTTTCTTCAATTTACTCGTATGCAAGTGCAAAGGTTTACCTTCAAAAAATAAAAAGCTTGGAATCGAAACAGATGCTGAAAATTCATTTTATATTATTAAACCAAATGTTAATCTGATGGTCAGTAGCACTAGCAGTAGGACAAATACGCGATTTAGTCCAAGTGGTATCACTTCTTTTTATAGCTGCAAGATAATTGTTTTTTAAAAGTTTTTCTTATCAAAGCCAATCAAATGCTTCTTTTGTTGAAGCATTTTTTTCAGATGATCATTTTCACATTTTCAAAATATGTTTCCAAAAACCAGTATATAATACGATAAGACTCCGCATATCAAGTCGAAGCCCTGAATGTTCCGACTGCCTTTTAAAGTTTACAGAGCAGTAGTAACATAGAACAAAATGTAACAAAATGAAGTGATTTTTTTTAATTTGAGATTTTTTGTGAAAATCATCCCGCATACCCCCGCCTTATAAAGTACAAAATAAAAGATTTCGTTCCTAGTAACAATTCAATTATGGCAAATGAGCTTCCTTCAACCAAATTGGAACCATTTCTAAGAAGGATATAATTCCCGCTTACGCCTTAGTAGCGCGAAATATATCGCGGGTTAATTGTCTAATATTGGCCAAAATAGCAATTTTTAAACCCCCATTACTTTACGAAAAATGATCACAGGAAAAATATCTTTTCAACTTTAAGCCTAGAACAACAACCACTTTCGAATGATATAAAAAAATTCGGTCAAAAACGGCTAGTTAAAAAGCCAAAATTTGTTAGAAGAAACAAAATATACCGAGCGCAAATATTCCGTTACTGTCGGAACTTTTCTAAATTGTATTAGATCACCTTATGCCCAGTACCTAGTTAATGTTCTAAATTAGATCTGAAAAACAATCTATTTTAGGTTTAATGTCAGATCTGAAATTTTGTTTTTCTTGGTTATTTCAGATCTCAAAAATCAATAATTCTCTCACAGTTTTTGGTATTTTTGTTTTACTTTTGTATATGATAGCTTCCCTTTGCTACTAGCAGGTTTTCAGCAAAGTCGTAAATGTGAGACTGCCGAAATATGTTTGCTCAAACATGAGATAAACATTGGAAATGCAAAAAAGCGCATGAAAAATCAAAATTTGATGTCTTAACAGTTTTTGAAAATTTTTGTAACACAGTTGAACAATAACTTAATTTAAAAAAAAAACTATTTGTGAAAACTCGATGCCAAACTGTGCATTTTGTGAATTGTACGCGGATTCTGCAACAAGGACGCTTCTTTATTCTTTTTTTGTTGTTTCATTTTTTTGATCGTTCCGACAAAGTTTTAACATGCTTGAAGACTTGACTCTGGAATCCAGGAACATACAGACACAAAAATGAGCGCCTAGTCAGTGCCTAGTTTGGCCTCGTAATGGAAGTTAATCGGAATTTTTTTTACCGCTAGTTAATGTAAACGTAATTGTGTATTGCAGAAACATCAAAAAAAACTCGGGTGTTTGATCGATACGCATAAATTTTAATTTAACAAAGGGTTTCTCAGATCTAATTTCAGATCTGAATTTTAGTTTTTCAAGTTTCTATCAAGATCTGAAAAAAAGAATTTCAGGTCTGAGAATCAACTTATGTAAGAAATAAAGAATTTCAGATCTTGCACAAAAAATCCCATGGGGACGGGGTCGTTATTAGTTTGTGAATGCAGCTCTCAGAGTTTAGTACCTTGTTAGGGTGAATAGCCTGTTCTAGCTGTCTTAATGCAGTAAAAGATTATTCTAATGTGCTTGATACAATAAATCGAACAAATTGAAGATTGAAAATTATTTCATTGAAGAACATTTTACACCCAAACAAACATTGCTTTTTGTTCCGACTTTCGAATAAAATGGAATATTTAAGCTCGGTGTGGTTTTTTTATTCAGTCAATTTTTACCGATCGAAATAATAATTTTCATCTAATTTTTTTTCTATATCATTAAAGATAATGACTTCTTGAGTTCAAATGTAAAAAGATACTTCACCTCCGATTATTTTGTAAAGTTCAGGGAGTTTGAAAATTGCCAAATTTGCCATGTTCTGGACTACATTATGCGCGCTTCGAAGAATTCATTCATTATGCTGAGAGCGTAACGCGATTTATTTTTGCGTGGCGAATTATCCCGCGCAACAAAATCGTTCCAAATTGAATTGAGGCTAGCTTCTTGGTGGTTTTATTGTTTTTGTGCGACTCAAAATCTTACACTTTCATATTGTCCACAAAATGTATAGGTTTTCAATATTTTATTTTCCCAAAAGCTAATCGATATGAATTAAGAAACAGTCGGAATTTTCAGGGTTTTGCCCTGATATACGAGCAGTCTTGTTCACGTTAATGACACAAACAATAAAGAGCTAGCTTTATCTCAAAAAAAATTCGACGGAAAATTACATCAATAATTTTCTCGCAAAAATATCAAACATGGATTAAAATCAGATTTTTGTAGGAAAATGACGATACGCTTAAGGAGATTGATATGCAACTTTTATACATTAACATATGTTGAGTTTGTTGATTTCTACAAATTTTGTGCTTTCTTCAAGTGTGTTCTTCAAACGACTTTGAGGTGACTTTTATTCTAGATAATTCAATTCATAGCGATATATTGATGTAAACCCATACGTATCTAGACAAGGTTAAAAATACACTCTGTCTCAAGTTTAATTTTTAAAATTTCCTTAAGATTTTGAATGAACATTTTTTTGCTTGTTCAAGCTAAGTTACTCTCATTATTTTAAGGTGAATTGCAAGGTTTCACATGTAATTTTATATTAAGAAACATTTGATACTTGGCCAATAAATTGATAATGTTTTGCTCGTGAAGTTTCTAAAAGCGATGCGGATGTCATAAAAATCAGTTTGCCGGAACAAGTTCGCGCATCAATTTCAAGCAACTGCTTTCTGTTGGAAACTGCATCTACGCAAGTGAGACAAGGCTCAAAGTTCTCTTTATTAGTTAGCAGAGCAGTAATTGATTCATCTTTTCCCACAGAAATAGATGAAATTATTTTAGCAAAAAAGAACAAGAATGCTCGTATCAGGGCGAAGCCCTGAATGTTCCGACTGCCTTTTAAAGTCTATGGAGCAGTAATGACATGACAAATTTAAATTTAGTTAAATTAAAAAAAACTTAAAAAATTTAAAAAATTTTGGTAAAAACTTCCCCCCCACACGCCATAATAAATTTAAAAAAAGAGATTTTGCTCTAATTAACAAATCAATTATGGCATATAAGCTTCCTTGAACCACTTTGGAACAATTTCTAAGACGGGTTAAATTTCCGATTACGCGTTATTAGTGCAAAAAGTATCGCAAGTTAATTGTCCCAAATTAGCAATTTTTTTAACCCCCATAACTTTAAAAAAAATGATCACAGGTAAATTATCTTTTCAAAGTTAAACTCAAGACAACAATAGCTGTGAATGATGTTTAAAACTTTTGTTTAAATTGGCCAGTTAAAAAGTCGATATTTGTCTGACGAAAAAAAAACCCACCCCAAACACAAGTATTCCGTTACTTTTAATCCAATCAGAATAAAGATAACAATAGTGCTCGTATCAGGGCGAAGCCTTGAAAGGTCCGACTGCATTTTGAGGTCTATGGAGCAGTATAACAAGTCTATGGAGCAGTAAGAAAGGTTAATCTAATGGTCAGTAGCACTAGCAGT